TTTTCTCCCCAAGACTGTATAAAAATATAAAAGTGAGATATTAAAACAAAAAAACCCAAACCATATAGTTTTAGCCTTTTATGCAGGCAGGACCTTTTAGGACAGGTTTTCCTCTGAGGGGCACAGTGATTACCAAGTTCACTTCTATCAGTGCAGAGATGATTTGCCCCCAGTGAACAAGGCAGCAAAGGTGCTCTGCTCAGTCCAAGAGTTCATCACTGCTCTAAACACTCTGGTCACTGAATGAGGTCACTGTCAATTCACTTGTTCTTCAAAATATAAGCAAGGCTCATTTCCAGCACTGCCCAAGCTCAAAGGGCCTCGCTCTGCAGCCTCAGAACGGTTCTCACTGGAGAAATACTCACTAGAATTGACTGGGGGAGCCAGAAAATTACTGACTGACAGAAACTGATTATTTCTTCATTAAGTTTTCCTACAATTTAATGCTAAGTGCTTACCTGCCCACATTTTTCCACATCCTGCACACCTTTCAAAGACTGGGATTTACTTAACAGCTGGAGAATTCCTTGAGCACATCTCCAAACACAAAGAGCATGGGCACAGTTTACAGTTCTCTATTGCCATTTTAGAGTATTTTTAAGTAAAAAACTACCACAGAGTGTTATGGACAAATAGCTATGATATATGGTCAAGAATACAGACTACCATCCAAATTCCAGAGCACAAGTACAGTTGGCAGTTAAAATGAACTGCACACAGAGAGACAGAAAATCCTTCAAGTTACAGCTGAGGCCCAACCATGAGAACACGTTTCATCCTCTAGGTCACACTCCAGCCAGGCATTTAGGCATGAGAGCAACATCACACATCTGAGTAGTCCCACATAATTCAGTTGCATGTGGAGTATCAGCATAAGCACACTGAAGTGCTTTGCTTTATTTAAACTGCAGCTATCAAAATACAAGCCATGTTACATTTGTGTTTGTTGGGTTTGTAAACTATTATCTTCGAAGACCTTACAGAGCTTTTTACCTACTAAAATATTCTTACCTGAGCTGAGAAACAACCTGCTAGCAATTAAGAGAATAATGTACTTTTTCCTGCCTTTCTCCACATTTCAATATTGAAACACTGTTAGCCAGTTTGTGCTTTTTCTTTGTATCACTTAGATGCTCTTTGGATATATATACATATATCCTGATACAAAGTTTACACTCTAAACAGTAGAAGTGTACTTCCCTGGAACTGTCTGTCAATGAAGAAAGTTTCTATTCTGTTGTTTTAGTCACATCTAAACTCTTTTTGAGAAGAGCTGTTAAAAAAAAAATCTGAGCAACTGTTTCACGTATTTGTAAACACACTCGCTTTTGTAGACTCCAGCAGCAAGCTGAAGCATCCATCAGTGAATTTTACCAGTATATGTGTTTAAACACAAACAGAAATAAATATAAATATGATAGAGACTTGACAGAATTCTGTAACTTAAATTTGTGGTTTAACACAGAGCAGAGGTTAGCAGACAGAAATACAAGAAAGCTGACCTTACAGCAGTGGTTTGACACCAGTAACACTCAGTGGTTACTACCTCTACCCAGGAACAAAAATCAGCCTGCTCACTCCCATGGTATCATATCTGTTTTCTCCTCCTGCCCTGATCACAATTTTCTTGGTCTAAACATTCTTCCTCGTCTTAAGAGTCAAATGATTTAGTCTGGCAATATTAAATCTTAATAAATGCTAAATTGTTCTTTCACAGACAGCAATATAAGAAGCTACAAGTAGATAACGCTACCTCCACTGTCATCCACATCACATCATGGATCAAATACATGAATTCTCCTTAAACAATACTTTTTAGCCTCTGGTTAAACAGAAGGCATATAAAATGCCATAAAATGTAAATTTATGTACATTCCATAGACCTTCTAAAATCCTAAGAACACCAGCATTTTTTCAGGGATTACAAATTGTACACACATACTTGACACTTTGCCATTCGTTCAATGAAAAGCACTGGAGTTAAGCATGTGAAATTTTACAGAGGTTTATTTCTTATCCCAGTATTTTAAACTGAAATTTGGATCACGTGACTAAAACTACAGAGATCAGTAAGAATTCAGCAACAAAGCAGTATCCAAAAGGGGTTTAATATTCAAAAAAACCAAATGAGACTACAAGTTGCATTATCTAGAAAGAAACGGATGATAAGTCAATTTTTGTTTTTTAAAGTAAAAGTCAAGAATGATTTATGAGAAAAGAGGAGCAAAAATCACCAAGGGCCACATGCATTAGCAGGAATAAATGTTGCTTGTCTCAGGTTTACCTGTGATAAGCCACTACTGTCTTGACTTCAAACACTGGTACTAGTCAAGTCTTAAAAAACGCCTCTGGTTTGCAGAGACAAAACAAATACAATTATTTTACAGTACTTTCCATTCCCAAACTTGCTTATTTAATAACACAACCTGCATCATTCCATCACTTGATTGCAATGCAGTTCAGCTTAGCCAATTATGTAAGTGTATTTTACATCAGAATGGACCTGAACACTTAATTTTTAAGTCAATAGCAATGCCAGTATTTTAGTGAGAAATACGCTGGTCTTAAATGACTTATACATTTAGGTCATCTTGTGAAAGCAGCTGCTTTATGTTCCATAGTTTCACTAAAAAGGAAAAGTGCAATAAGATCTCTTATTGACAGCTGCATTCAAAAACATACCAGTTACATAAGTTTGCAAATTATACTGTGACAGAGTTAAATTTCTAAGCATTTTAACGACAGTACTCAAAATGCTGTCTCAGCAAGAATGACTCAACTCCACCACATAAGCTGCACTCCAGATAAGAAGCAACCAGCTCGATTTCATAGAAAAAAAATAATTTAGTAATCTGCTTTAATTCAGATTGTTCTGAGCTGTGCTTGTTTAGACCTGCAAACTTCACCAGTCATTTGGCATTTCCATCTTCCCTCCTCTGGTTCAACAAAAGTAACTCAAGTTTACCTACAGACAATTAAGGAAATACTTGGAAAACAGGGATAATTTTCTGCTGTACCTCGAGGGGAGAGATTCGCCAGACAACCACCAACCAGAGGAATAAACCTGTAAACCAGAGCTAGGCCTTGCCTTTAAACGACAAGAACGTGGCTATGCCAAACAGAGAGAGAGGACAGACCAGCTCTCTCCACATTTGCCCGAGGCTTTTATCAGAGATCTCTGTGAGAAAAATATTAATAACTGGCATGATGCATCAGCAAGTCTTTTTACTCTTAGCCCAGTCTCATATACAAAAGGTAGACCCAGAAAGGCCTGGAAAACAAAACTTTAGGAGCAGCTCTCCCTACCCCAGGCAAAAACGCTGGTAACAACTACCAAAACTGTTGTCCTTCAACACCTTCCTTGTGATTGATACTGTGACTGGACAGGTAAAGTGTAAAACTTCCCTGACCCATGTTTCTCACACCCATTTTATGTCTCTGATGCCATTCATAGAAAAAAAAACTATGAATAGCAACACAAGGGAAGGTATCATAGAAGAAATGCGGGTAGAAATTGCACAATTTTTGGTCATTTGGCAACTCACACAGGGTCCTGAGTGACAGCAGCCCACCAGCCATAATTTCACTGGCACTTCACAAATCCTGCTTCAGCCACCTAACCAGCTCGGGAAAGTGCTACACGGGTTCATATTTGTAAAGTCATTTCCTAGAATCACAAGAGTTAGAACTCCTACTTTATAAATTCATTCTGTTTACTCTGATGCTAAACATCACAGTCTGAGAAAAACGTATCACCTACCTTCCTCCTAGCTACTGCTCTCGGTGGTCTAAAACCGCCTTCTGCTTAAAAAAAAGTAAACCCAAAAAATTCCTCTGGGTGACACACAGAACCTTAAACCTTAAGGTTTCTAGACAGGCCCTCAGTGAACAGCACTTTCTCATTTGACGGAAGGTACAGCTCAAAAAAAAAAAAAAAAATCTGGTTCTTCCCAAGTATTACTGTAAACTTAAACATTAGTTTTGCAACAACGAAAATTTTGCCACCCACGTGGGCAATGCTGAAATATTTCAATCGTGCTAAATAAATACAAATACGTATCGAACAGGCGCCTGCAAAATCAATTCCCGTGAAAAACTATTAACCTCCAGTCGGTCTTAAAGCTGTATCACAGCTACCAGCACACAACCTAATGTAACAAAAAGCTTTAAACGTATGCTCAGAACCTCTGGCATTTCACACGCAAGCCCAATGAAACCAGCACAACTTTCTCACGCGGGGGGTGGGGGGGGTTAGCGCTTGGTTCCACGGACTTTTACCACGCAGGCCGTGACAGATCACAGACCGTCACGGCGCAACCTTTGCTCAGCGACGTTTGTTTTCAAAGGCACCGAAATCTCTCCCGAACTTTAAAACGCCCGAAAGGCGTTGGCGAGGGGAAGCCGCCCCGCTGCATCACAGTGTCACTATTCGGGGAGCGCTTGATGCTCCGACCCTCGCCAGGGTGGGGTGCTTTAAAAATAGATGCGTGGTGGTGGTGGTTTTTTTTGGTGTTGTTTTTTTTTTTTTTTTTCTCTCCTTCCCCAGTGCCGTGCCCCGAGCGTTAGGGTGGCGATGGGAGAGCAGGCTGTTTATAGCCTTTTATTTAATGAACTCTGGGCGAGGGAAGGAGGAGGGAGGGGGGCAGGGAGAAAGGGAAAGCTGCTGGTTTTCTACCTGAGCCAGGCCCAGCCCGCGCTGCTCGCCCTCTTCTCCCGGTGCCCAGGGCGGGGGGGGGCTGCGGTGACACCCCCGCCCTCAGCCCCTCAGCGGGCGCTGCATTGCAGGGGCTGCGCGGGGGGGTCCCGGCAGCGGCGTTATCCCAGCGGGATCGCACCCGCACCCCCGTTCCCGCTGCCATTCCCATTCCCGTTCCATCCCGGCTGTGCCGCCGGGGATGGCGCCGGGCTCCTCACGCCCCCCCCCCCCCCCACCTCCCCGCGCAGCCACCCCCGGTTGTTTACGGGCCCCGCCGCCCCCTCACGGCGCAGAGAACACTCACCGCCCCGGCCGCGGGGTCTGCGCCGGCTCCGCGGGCAGGGCCGCGCTCCCGCTCCCGGCGGTGAAGGACGGGGACAAGGAGGAGGAGGAGGAGAAGGAGGAGGAGGAGGAGGGGGGCACCCGGCTGGCGGCCTCGCCTCAGCTCATTCACAGGGCGGCTCTGTGCCCAGGGGGAGCCCAGTGCTCATCTCGCCCCCCCGCCGCCGCCGCCGGCCCCCCCCTCAGTCCCCGGGTCCCCCGTCCCTCCCCGGCCCGAGCTGCCCCCGCGCCCACCCGCGCAGCGCCCCCGCGGAGCGCCGACCGCGGACGGACGGACGGACACACGGAGGGACGGACACACGGACGCTCTCGCGCTGCGCTGCTGCCGCCGCCGCCTCCGCCCCTCTGCGCAGGCGCGCGCGCCGCAGGGGA